AGCAGTAGAGGTCTCAGCAGCCCTGGCCTGAGCAGGGGTTTGGGGTGGGTCTGGGAGCAGCCAGTGCCCTGCCTGCTTCAGATGCCCAGCCTGGACTTCTGCAGGGTGCTGCAGCCTCTTTGGCTTCATCCTCCTTCATGTGCAGGGACGGACAGGCTCAGATGCCCCACAGACAGGCTGTCATTGCCTCTCTCAGCACTTAATCAGTTGCACCCCACTTGGTGCGGGTGAGTGGCTCGGGGGCAGCTCCTGCCTGCACTGACCACCTCTCTCCCCACAGAGTACAGCCGCTTCGAGTCAAAGATCCATGACCTGAGAGAGCAGATGATGAACAGCAGCATGAGCTCCGGCTCCGGCTCACTCCGGACGAGTGAGAAGAGATCTCTGTATGTCCGGTAAGGCTCAGCCTCCTGTGCCTGTCCCCTTACTCCAGGTAGATGGAGGCAGGTAGGATGGACATATCCCCACTGTGCAGGATGCAGGGTGGGATGGTTCAGCCTGGACTGTGCAGCACCTCTGTGGATGGGTGTTTCGGAGGCCAGGGAAGTGAGTGTGATAGATGCCTTGTGAAGCTCAGCGGGTGCAGCAGGGAGAGCAGTGTTTTTGCACTGGTTCACTGGGGCTGGGTGCTCTGCACTTGAGTGCCTCGTTTAAGGACTGTTCCACTTTGGAAAGCACTGGTGTCTCTACAGAGCCCTGGGCAGCTGCTGCCCAGGCTGACCCACTGGGGACCACTGGGAAATGCTGGGCATCCAGTGCCACTTCTGCCCCAGGCAGCTCAGGGCAGCATTCAGGGTGTTTTCCTTGAACCACTCCCTGCTAACAGGTTTCTCCCCATCTCCTTCTGCCATTCCTGCAGCAAGATCTGGCTGGAGGGGAGATGAGCTCTTAGGAAGATTATTGCTCTGAGCCCTCGATGTGCTTTTGGTCTGGAGCCAGGCACGGGGCAGGCAGGGGTTAAGCAGCAATGCACCTGTAACTGCAGCAAGTCCTTCTTGCCAGGGCAGCCCCTGCTCGCTGCCTACCTTCTGACACCTCCTGCCCACCACAGCGCGAGGGGGGTGACAGCTAATTAGTAATTTTAACGTGGTAATTAAAATAATCCTGTAAATACTCGCCCTGCACAGCCTGTTGTGGGTGGGGGCTGGCAGGAGCAGGGAATGCTTCTCTTTCCTCATGGGAAGGATGACAAGGGCCAAGGCTGCATCACCCTCAGCCTGCATCACCCGCTGCATGGCTGCTCCATGCAGAGGAGCTTCAGGCTGTTGCTGGACCCAGCACAAGCCCAGCCTAGCAGGAGAGGAGAGCTGTAGCTCTGCGTTCTTGCAATTCATGCCTTCCCGCAGGGCTCTGCAGACATCTTGCTTGATTTAGCATCTTGGGGCTCTGTGCTGTGGGTGTGCAATGAGCTGGGTGCTGTCTTGAATGAATATACTCTTGCTCGTCCTGCCCTTAGGCCCCTGCTGGCCCACAGACACCCTTGTGTGTGGAGCAGGGTTTGGGCTGGGTCGAGTTTGAGTTGAGCCTGCGAGTCTCCTGTTCACTGCCTGGATAGGTGCTGCACATATTGGAGGGTGCCTGCGAGCCAGAGAGCTCCCTGCTACCTGTGTAGCATCTCTCATCTCTTGATGCATGCCTCCACGTGACTTTGGTGGCCTCCGCAGCGCTCTGTTCCCTCACATACACCCAGGTGGCTTCAGGTGGGAGCTGGGCAGCACCTTCCTGAGAGGGTGATCCCAGGGGAGAGCTTTGCCCCAGCATGGCCCTTTCTGACCTTCCCTGGCTATGGCAGCTGCACACCCCACAAATGGGCTTGCGAGAGCTGCCAAGTGCCTGGGCTGCCCCAGCCCTTCTGGGCGGGGTAGTTTCAAGCACAGTTTACCCGAAACCAGCTGAGCTGCTGCACTGCAGACAGGACATCAATTGACTTGCTACCCAACTACTTGAGTCAGCCCTGCAAGGCTGTGTTGCACCCCATGTGCTGTCAAGAGGGCTGGGGCCAGGTACCTGAGTGTCCGCTGGAGCCTATTTGGGGATACTGGTGCTCACCACGTGTTTCAGAGCTGCAGCTGTGCAGCACGGGCAGGGGCGAGGCAGGTTCACATGCTGCCTGCCACCTGCCTGCGCTGCCGCAGGGCGAAGTCCGCTGGTACCAGGGCCGGGCAGGGATGGGGGTCAGGCGGGCGTTGTGCCTAGGCACTGGGAAGAGGCTGTGCCAAGACCCAGGCCCTGCTCCTCTGCCCTCCAGCCAAACCATCTGCGCTCTTGGCTGCTCAGAATGGAGTGACCACACTGACCCCCTGCACCCTGTGTGCCCCAGGGAGCACCCAGCCATGGTGGGTACTGGGTGCTGACACAGTCAGGGGCTGGTCTCCAGGAGCATCATGCCTAAGGGAAGCAAATGCCTCGTTCTTCTGCTTCGCAGGTGTCTGGACACCTTGCACTAATCTTTCTGTGCCTGCCCTGGGATGCCAGTGGCTGCTGCGGGAGGAAGCAGGGAGCCATGGGGCCAGTGCTGCTCTGCAGAGCAGGGTGTGGGCAGGGTGCCCTGCAGCCCGCCTCAGTTCAGGAACCGGCCTGACCAGTTCCCTGGGGCCTTGGCTCATGCTTTTCTCCCGATGGCACTGGCCTTGCAGGGGCCTCCTGGCCACGCATGGCCTTATCTTTTGGCCAGGAGCTGCCTGCGAGTGTTGCTTGCCTCCAGCCAAAGTGCCCTGTGGTGCTTCACTGCCAGCTCCAGCGTGCTGGGGGCTGTACTTGGGTACAGAGGGACTGAGCACAAGAGCTGCCTCAGCCCTGAACAAGCTGGGAAAGGGGGAATGACCTGGTGGCTGGATGTACCTGGACCCATAGGGCTGCATTTGGTCTCATCCCAAAGAGCCCTCCCCGAGCTATGGCGCAGCCCCTCCCCTGCTCAAGACCAGCTGCCTTTACTCAGTCCAAGTGAACTGAAAGGTTTCATTGCCCAGCGTTCCCCTGGCAGTGCTGGAGCAAGGATCTGGCTGAAAAAGCACCCTCCCAGTTCTGCTGCTCCAGGGACATCTGCGACATGGTCCCTGGGCCTGCCCATTTGCACCATGTGCTTTCAGACCCCTTAGGAGTACTCGCAGGGGAAGGGGGTAGTGAGCAGGGCAGAGGGTGTCTCTCCTGGCTGAGGAAGGCTCATTAGTACCAGGATTCGAACAGCAGCCAGACAGTGTTTACAGTGCCTGGGCTCGTGTCGGGCTGGGGGGCGAGCAGGGCCGATGTCCCAGGAGGGAACACAGGAGTTGTGTTGCTGTCAGTGGTGCTTTTAGTGATTGTTCCCTTGGTTTGCTTTCTTGCAAAGTGGATAGATCAAAGCAGACACGGTTTGAGATCTGACATCAGTAGAATAAGTTGCATGTGAAGCTACAGAGAGCAGCTTGTTGGTACGGGCTGCAGTGCTGTGTGCACAGGGAGGGTATTAGTGCTTTTCTAGTTTGAAAAAAATAAATCTGTAGCTGGTTAGTTTAGTATTGAAGATAATTTTAAACTAAATAAACTCTTCTCAGGGGAAATATTTAGGACTCTGAAAAAGATCAGCAGATATAAATACCCTCAGATGTGTTCCTAATTCACAGGCTGTGGACTAACATACCCCTGGACATAAAGTATGTGGTCAGAGCACCCCACGGTCTCTGCCTTCGTGACTGCCCCACCAGCAGTGGGGTCTGATGTTCCGCATCTCACTCCTTGGCTCCGCAGCTGCTGGGGAGGGATGGTGGGGAGCAGCCCAGCACCCCAGCTCCCTGCTGCCCTTCTGCACACTGCTGCTTTCTTGAGGCTGCATGAGCTTCGCCTGCTCACTAACCACAGCCACCTTCAATGTGTCTGTGGTTCGTGTGCCTCTCACAGCTAAGGTCAAGAGCAAGTTGTTTTGGTGCAGCGTCATTGTTCCTGCGTTGCACGCTTCGGGGCTTGTGCTGAGCCTGCCAGTGGGAGGGGTGTGCTGGTGGCTGCATGGCATCACTCACCTTGGTAGGAAACTTCTCCAAAGTTTGAGTTTAAATCCTTTAAGGTATGAAGATGGCAGTGCCCCAAGAGGCTGGCAGTGCTGCTGCCCTCATTACCTATCTGTGCTCTGGGAATGCATCACTCCTCTCTCTGCTCCTCTGCAGAGCCCTTTTTGACTATGACCGGACCCGGGACAGTTGCTTGCCCAGCCAGGGGCTCAGCTTCTCATATGGGGACATCCTGCATGTCATCAATGCCTCCGATGATGAGTGGTGGCAAGCCAGACTTGTCACACCCCATGGTGAGAGCGAGCAGATCGGGGTCATCCCCAGCAAGAAAAGGTGAGTATCCATTAGCAGAAGCTGTCACTCATGGCACCTCCTGGAGCTCCCCAGCCTCTGCAAGCACTGCAGTCCTTGTGGGTCTGCTCAGAGTGGGATCTTCTTGTGGTCCCAGCCCACCTGCCCCTCAATGGCTGTGCAGCATGAAGGGCATCCCAGTTGCAAGCTGGGGTTGCGTGCGGGTCTCCCTGGGGAGATGTTTTCCGAAGCTGTGTGAGACCCCAGGTGCGGAGGGGAGCGCTCAGCCCCCTCTGTGGTCCCTGTCAGGGTGGAGAGCTGGTGTTAGTCTGGGGCTCCAAGTGAGAGCAGAGTTGCAGCAGTGACTTCAGGCCGCTCCTTGTGTCCTCTGACAATCTGCCCAGATCTGTGAGCCGGGTCCCGTGAGACGGGATGTCACAGGGAGCAGAGGAGCTGCTGCCACTGCCTTCAGGTCTGCAGAGCTAGCCCTGTCTCTGTCCTCCATCCCTCCTCTCCCAGGAAGGCTGGCTTGTCCCCTGTCCTGCTTCTGCAGATGCTGGCCTTGGCCAGACACTGGGCAGGTGGCTCCATCTCTGTCTCTCTCTGGGAAAGAGCTGCCCTTCACCAACAAGGCCACCACCCAAGGGTGCGCAGAGCCACCTGGGGAGACAGGCGGGCAGTATGGAGGGTGCATGCACGGGACTAGCAGCTCTTTCTCCCCTTTAATTTCTGATCAGGGTGGAAAAGAAGGAAAGAGCACGGTTGAAAACAGTGAAGTTTCACGCCCGGACTGGCATGATTGAGTCCAACAGGGTAAGTGCGGAGCTGGGTCTCAGCAGGGTGCCCAAGCCAGTAGCTAGCAGGGGCAGGATGAGTCCCAGCAGCCAGAGCTCCCAGTGGGACAGCTGAAGCAATCTCAAAGCAAAGAGCAGCATGACTGGACATGCCCCAGGTCCGCATCTGCTCAGCATGAAAGCTCCGTGACTGTGCAGGGGGTGAGCAGAGGAGCCCGGGATGGTGCGAAAGCGCTGGAGAAGGACCCCTGGTTGGAGTGGTGGGGGAGTAGAGCCCATCTCACTGTGGCCTGTGGCTGGGAGCTGACTGCAGGCAGCTCATGTAGGTGGAGCTAGTTGCCCTCACCCCTTGTGCAGAGCCCTTAGCAATCAGATGAGGAAGGGAGAATGGCCTGACTATCCCAGTAGAGCTGCTGATTGACCCATGAGCTTCCTAGCATTCCTACCACATGTTTTTCTCCATGTTTAATTTTTTTTCCTGCATTACAGTTTTCATGTAATCTCCATGATTTCATTTGAGGGTAGCTGCCCTGACACAGCTCCTCACTGTCTCTTCATTTTAATTTTTCCCACATGCGTTAAACACCATTGTTTTTTTCTGTCCTCCCTTCCATCTCCATGTTCTTCAGTCGATCAAAACGAAACGTAAAAAGAGTTTCCGCCTCTCTCGAAAGTTCCCATTTTACAAGAGCAAAGAGAACTTGGCCCAGGAGAGCAGCGGACAGGAACGTAAGTAGCAGCTGGCCAGAGAGGGCAAGCGTGCAACCCTCAGGTCCCCTGCCTTGCAGGGAGAGATTTGGCACATTTCCATAGCCAGGGGTCCTGGCATCTGCCCGTGTTGGGTCTTTTCCACAGTTGTGCCAGCACCGAGGGAGAAACTGGAGCTTGAAATGAAAGCAACGGCTGCAGGCTGGTGCTCTCTTTCTCTTTCTCATGTTCAATGTCTTCATCCTTTCATCCAACTTTACACCTGCCTGACCCCCTGCTCTGCCTCTCCCTTTCTCTCCCCGCTCTGCTGCAGGCTCTGCTCCCTCCCTCCACCTGTCAAGGGCTGCCCTTCTCCAAGCAAGGGGCTGGCCACCTACTGCAGAACAATTGCTGGCCACCTACTGCAGAACAATTTCTGTCCCCGTCAGGGCTGAAGGAGGTCCTGGCTGCGCTTCCCCTCTCCCCTAGAAGTGACTTACTATGTATTCCCGTCTGAGAGCCCTTCCTGTAAACCCTGTGGGCACGGGGGAGCCATGCCCTCACTAGTGGAGGAGTTGCCCACCCGTGACTGAGGCACATCTGTGGTAGTTGGTTGCAGACGTTGGGGGGGTTTCCCAGCTCTCACCTGGCAGCACCCTGGGGCTCACAGTGAAGGCAAAGCATTCAGCTTGTTGCCCCAAATCATGACATGGGCAGCACTAGAGCTGCTCGCCGAACCCAGCCCCTCCTCCTTCCAGATGCTAAACTTATCCACTCCTTCAGCAGGTGTTCAGACAGAAAGCTGCAGTCCTCACACCTTGGGGAAGAGGAGGTGGGCAAGGCAGACCAGTGTTTCTGCCCTGGTGCCAGTGCAGTGAGCACGTTCCCTCCCCTCCAGTGGTTCTCCTGGGTGTGATGCAGAGGCAGAAGGTTGATGCTGGGCTGCTCCGGGAGCTGTCTGCATCCCTCTGCTGCCTGTACCAGGCTGGCACTGGCTTCCAGCGAGCTTAGCAGCCAACATGAGCCTCTGGCCTGCGGTGAAGTTTAAGTCTGGGTGTCTCTCGTGGTGCCTGTACATGGCTGGGCTCCAGTCAGCTCTGTGCTGGAGCTGGGGGCTCACAGGGGCACTGCTGTCGGCCAGCCCTGTGGCACAGTGACATACAGCACAGGGATGGGCCAAGCAATGCTCTTTGCCAGCCTGTGTCACAGACCCGCAGCCAGCTCCTTCCCCGTGCTCTGCCACTGTCTCTCCCAGCTTGCAGCGGGGGGTCCTTCCCCCATATTTCCACAGCCCATGCAAGCACCAGGGCGTGGGCAGCTAACACACACCAGCAGGGGGGGAAAAGCGTGTCCCCCTACCATGCATTAGAGGATTGACTGTGTGGTGTCTGCCCCCAGAGCAGCTAGGGGGTTCCAGGGGAGTGCAGAGGCATCGCGCCCTGCCAGTACACCCCATGAGGCATCACAGAGAAACACCTCGGCCCTGCTTGCCAGCAGCTCGAGGCTGCAACCGCTCAGTGCCAGCAGATGCTGCTGGAGCTGCCCTGCCCTCCCCAGACCCAGGGTGGCCCTTGGGGGCTCTTTGGCAGAGAGGATGAGCTCGGTGGGGGAATCCAGCCCCTCAAGGCAAGACGTTGGCAGCAGGCTGATGGTGTCAGCTCTGAGAACTTTTAACCTCACTTGCAGTTGCAGCTCTGGGCCGTTCTGCACTCCTGTCACTAATGCTGATCTGGCTCTGTCTCTTCCCATCCCTCTAACTGTCCTCTCCTACGTTCTCTTCTTTTCCCCTCTCCCCCTTCTTGCTGTCTGTGAAATCAGGACTTCCCTGGGTTAAGTGACGATTATTATGGAGCAAAGAACCTGAGTAAGTCAAATTTTGATGTGCATCGTTCACTTTCCGTTGTTGGCATGCCTGGTGGTGCCTGGGGAGCAGCTGGGCTCCAGCCAGTGCAGCTGCACTTCTTTGGGTGTGGGGAAGGAGGAGCACTGGGGGTGCTGCTCCTCTGCTGGGGAATGCTGCATCTGCTGGCGGAGGCTGCTGGGCTTGAGGAGGTGCTGCTGCTGCTGCACGTGGAAGGGGCTAGGGGAGTCTGCTTGGTGATGTTGGTCATGCCTTAAGCACATGCAGCTGAGGGCTGCCTGCACACCTGAGGTGAGCTGTACCTCCTCATCCTCCTCTTCCTCTTGCTCCTAGGTGGGTTGGCTGCTGGTTTGGCACTCGGAGCCTCTGCCAGTGTGGGTGGAATGTGGCCATGACCACGATGGGTCCACTCTGAGTGAGGCGGGTGACAGTGTTTTGAAGTGTTGCCACCTTCCTCTGGGGCACCACATACCAGGAGCTGCAAAATAATGATGGCAGGAGCCCCTTAGCCCTCCCAGCTGGGCCTGAGTCCCCTGCCGAGCTCTGCACCCACCTGACTGGTGCAGAGCCCAGGCAGTCAGGCAGCAGCCAGCAAGCCTCTGTAGGGTGGTCACGGCACTGGGATCAGCCTGAGCAAGCAAAGCTCCAAACTCTATCCCATCCTGTCACTGTCTTGTCTCTGTGAGTCCCAGCACCGTCCCCAGGGGTAGGCTCCCCCACCCCCATGCCGGTGTGAAGCCATGCCCTGTCCCGCCCCCTGTGTGCATGCTGCACCCATACTCCCCACCATCACCCTCCCTGTGCACCCCACCTTCCCTCCCTGGGCCTGGGAAGCCCAGTACCTGCACATGTCTACCCACACCTGCCAGGCAGCCCCCTCCTGCCATCCCTGCCTTCTCCCAGAGCAGTCAAGCGTACCCCTGCATGTCCCTGATTTCCCAGCAAAGAGCGAGAGATGCCATCCTGCCCATGCAGCACGGGCTTGTCCCAGCAGGTGCTGGGTCACAGGTTTTTCCAGAGGCCGGTGCTGCCCAGCCCTGGGTCAGTAGTGCTGGATGACAGCCAGGGTGCCCCCGTGCCTTCTGCCTGTGCTCCTTCTGAATGGCGTCTCTCTGGTTGCTTTGCAGAGGGCGTGACATCAAACACCAGTGACAGCGAGAGCAGTTCCAGTAAGTGTGCATCTCGCCTGCCCTCCTCCCCCTGTGCATATTTTAGCACTTCCATCTTGTCCCACTGGTGGCTCTGTTTGGAGGCTGGTCCTTCCTGCTGGTGACACCAAGATGCTGCAGCCAGCTTCTGCCTCAGGGCTGGGGGGCAGGAGCAAGCCTGCCTGCTCTCCCGCTTTCTTCTGGCTGCAGGTCTCTGCTCCAAGGCTGGGTGGTAGGTTCCCAGTCCGTGGTGGTCCCCCCATCCTCAGTGCCTGCTGCAGGAAACAGTGGCCAGAGGTTGGGTCTGTAGCATAAGTGACTCCTGGAACCCAAGCCTGTACAAGAGCATGGGGGTCCAGCTAGAGCAAATGCTCCTTTTATCCCCGGCAGGTCCTGTAAATATCTGCGGCACATCCACCGTCCACCCTGCAGGGAGGACAGCGTGTCCCATGGGCCCAAAGCCCTCAGTGGTGGGAAGGGAGGGAGGAGGTTTGACCCAGAGCTGGGACATGAATAATTAACGTGGATCAAGGGCTGGTAACTGCACGCCCGTTACGCTCCATATCAGCTGGCAGCATGAGGGGGGCAGTGTGGAGGTGTCCTCAGGGCTGCGGGAGGCTGGCAGGGGCAGGAGCCAGCTCCTCCTGGGTGCAGAGGGGCCAGAAAGCTGCTGCGAGTGCTCACCTGCCTCTCCCTGGCTCTGTTGCAGAAGGACAAGAGGACGCCATCCTGTCGTACGAGCCAGTGACGCGGCAAGAAAGTAAGTCCCGGTGCTGAGCTGCCCTGTGCCTGCTCCAGCATGGGCACCTGTGTCCCCAGCCCAGCCAGGGTGACCGGTGCAACCTCCTCCCCTCCCTTGCTGTACCAGGATGACACCAGGTGAACACAAGTGGAGTTTCTTGTCTGCTGCGTGCAGCAGCTGAGCAAGGTGTTCATGCCGCATCACAGGGCTTTGCCTGGCCGTAATCACCTTTTTTTAATCAACAGAAAAGACTTGTGACCTGGTGTGCAAGACCAAGGGAGAGATCCAGAGCTAAAACTGAGCTAGGCTTTAGTCCCCAGCTGAGAACAGGATTATCCTCCCCTTCTTTGGGCCGGGTCCCTGCTGCAGAGCAACCCCCCTAGCCCTCAGCATTTAACCCTGCTCAGTGCTCAATCTCTGCAGATACTTTCACAGGCTGAATAGTTCCAGCCTCAGTGGTCTCTTCTTGCCAGAAGCTGGATCAGACTCTTAGTCTCCCATCACTCACTCAGCTCTGTGGCATCCTTGCCCAGTTGTCCTGATTGTCTGGGTCCTGCTCTGAGTGAGGGAGCAGCTTTGCTGATCTGTGATCCCAGAGACCTGCAGCACCTTCCCCAGGGCTGCAGATGGTTTGGGTCAGATGGGAAGGAGATGTTGACTGTGACCAGGAGGAGATAAACTGGCATGGAGGAGGAGGCAACTTTGGGTGGGTGCCCATGTGAGCAGGAGCACCCGCTGCCAGTAGGGACAGGGCAGGTTGATGCCAAAAGGGGCGAGGTCAGCTGCCCACAGTGCAGACGGGGCCTCAGGTTGTCACTCTTGTTCACAGTTCACTATGCGAGGCCAGTGATCATCCTGGGGCCAACGAAGGACCGAATTAATGACGACCTCATCTCTGAATTCCCACACAAGTTTGGTTCCTGTGTTCCCCGTAAGTTCCAGCTGGCACTTGGTTCCCTTGCTAGATGGAGGGGAGAATGGTGGCTCTGCTGCTTGCAGGATCTAGCCTGTGGTGTGGGAAGGGGGCCAGGAACACGGGTGGGCTTTCCCTCTCCCAGGAGGTTGGCATGCATCACTCCAAGTTCGCTCATGATGCCTACTTTCCTCCAGACACTACCAGGCCTCGGCGTGAGAATGAGGTGGATGGACAAGACTATCACTTCGTTGTATCCCGCGAACAGATGGAGAAAGACATCCAGGACAACAAGTTCATAGAGGCTGGGCAGTTCAATGACAATCTCTATGGGACCAGCATTCAATCAGTGCGGGCAGTGGCGGAGAGGGTGAGTGTCAACTGGGATGCAGCCAGCCTGAACCTGGATGCATTTAGCAGTTCCCCTCCTCTCCCCACGTTGTTAATAAAGGGCTGTAACCACATTAAGCAAGCCTGGCGTGAGACTCTCCTCCCTCCAGAGTCCTGCCAAGGCACGTGGCTGCTTTTCTCGGCTGTGTTACTCCACCTCAGTATTGTACCTGTCATCCAAACTCCACCCAAAAGCCTGGCACTGGGCAGCACCAGCCTTATGCTCAGGAGCTCGCAGGGCAAACGTTCCTAGCTGCCTTTCTCAAAGCAGTGGCATTTCTTCTGCGGGAGTACCAGAGTGTGCTGATGCCTTGTAAATTGTTTCACATGTTCAGAGAAAGATTCGGTCCCTTTGCATTGCTACTGTCCTGCGCTGAGCAGGCGGGAACATAAGGCCACTGGGAGTTGGCATGTGTCTCAGGCCTGATGTTTTATCTCTGTGTCTCCTCTCTTTTGTAAGCATATCTGTATGAGCAAGCTGTTTTCTGCATGGAGTAGACTGTGTGGGTAGATCTGACCGCAATCTTCTCCTTTCCAGGGCAAACATTGCATCCTGGATGTGTCTGGCAATGCTATCAAGAGGTTGCAACAAGCACAACTTTATCCCATTGCCATTTTCATCAAACCAAAATCCATTGAAGCTCTCATGTAAGTGCAACGCCATGTTCTGTGCCTCTCCAGGGCAAGCAGCTCTGACATGCTGAGGGTTTGTATGTCTGCTGCCTCTGCTTTTTAGAAAGCAGTGGAGGTTGCTGCTGGTGCTGAGCTTGTACCTTGTTAAGAGGTGCTGGACTCATTGCTGTCTCTGTGGTGTCCCTTCATATCTAATGCCGTGGTGCATCCAGGCTCCATGGATTGCTCCAGCTTAAAGCCCTTTGCTCTCCCCAAAGAGGATTATCCATGGGAAATCTAAAAATGCTCCTAAATGTGTCTGATGTAACTTGCTCATTTGGGCCCCGAGTCCAGCCAGGAGAGCTACTGTAGTGGTGGATCTCAGCTGGATGGTGGCTGAGCCAGGACAGCCCTGAGGAGCAGAAGAGATGTTCTCTGTGTGCCTAAGGGGGACCTTCTGCTTGTCCTGCTGCTCCTGGCCCTAGGGAGTGCAGGCTGGAAAGGGTGTAAGAGCTGAGCTTGCAACTCTTCTGAGCGGTAGTGAGATCAGAAGAGACTCTACTGGCATCGAGGGGACTGAGAAAACGTCTTCTCAAGCCAGAAGGGGTCAAATTGCTTATTTGGGTGTTGTATGAAGATGAGGGAACCTAGGCAAGGAGGGTGGTGACAGGCTCTGGAAAAGCAGGGAGACTTCTGCAGTGGTCTTGCAAATTTTGAGGACCATCTGGATTTGATTCCACTTCTGCCCTATGGTGAAATAGAGAGGGTGGTGGTGATGGGAAGGACTGTTGGAAGTTGAGATGAAGTGCCAAGGCAGCAAAGAGCATGTGGGGACAGGTCCTGCCTTTGAGCATGCAGGGGCTTCCCAGGCACCCCGGCTCCATGGGCTATTTTTGCTTCTGTTCATTGCAAAGAAGAAGAGCTAAATTTCTAATTTTTGTACATGGCAGGGAGATGAACCGGAGACAGACATACGAACAGGCCAACAAGGTCTTTGACAAAGCCATGAAACTCGAGCAAGAGTTTGGAGAGTATTTTACAGGTGAGTGTCCTGAGCAGGCTTGTATCTGATTTATTTTACTTTTCCAGCCGGCAGCTGTGACCTCTCTGTCAGCACTGTCTTACTGCAGGGTCATGGGAAAATGTCCAGCTTCATCAAAGCAAAAAAGAAATGGCACTTTGCCAGCAGGGCTCTGCAGAGGGACTGCTCTACGATCAGTGGATAAGAGTAAACCAGCTCTAGAGAAGGAGACAAGTTGTCAGGCCGGATTTTCCAAGTTTGTGAAAGCTTATCGCCAAATTTAATAACAATTAAAAAAAAAAAGAAAAAATTTCCAGTCAGGGGAAGTACAGCATAGATTCAGGGTGCTGCAACGTGACAGGAAATAAAACTCCCTGCACAGGGGAAAGGAGAGTGTTTTCAGAAAGAGAAAAGAGTCATTTTGAAGAGGAAAGACAAAAAATTAGTGACCTAAGTGGTGGAGGCTGTCCTGAGTTATTACAAAACACCTCCCAATAAAAGGCTGGAAGCTTGGCTGGCTTCCTAAGTAGTCTTTGCTGAAGAGCCAGTCAGGGGCTGTCTGGCACTTTGTGCCTGCAGAGGTGAGCTGTTCATGACACAGCATCCTTCTGCATTAAGGAACTAATGTTTGTAACATGATTAATTCTGGAAAATCATGGGCAGGCAAAGAGGCAGAGAAACTGGTCTTCCATCTTTCCTCCAGTGCAGTAACTGTTTCTTCTAAAGTTGAGGAGTGATTATCCTGCCAAACCCTACCAGCTACCAGAAAAAAAATCCCAAGCAGAACATTTTCCAAGAATGGATCTCAGACGAGCAAATGTATGGGTTCAAACAGGGCAAAAGCTTTCCCCAGACCTCCTGTCCCAGGCAGCAGTTCCAGAGCTGCGGGTTGCTCTTCCAGGAAGAGCACAAAGGAAGTGCCTGTTTTGCCAGACCCTCAGCATGCCATCGTGTGCTTGGACAGTGAGTTCGAAGTGGGCCTGGGGAAGGAACGCTCTTGGCTGAAACCTGTTGTTGAAAGAAGTGGTTGATGGGCAGGGGGAAGGTCACTGTAGCACGTTCTGTGCAAGGAACTTATAATAAGGGAACAGAGATACTGGAGGATGTCCTGGCTGAGCTACAGAGGCAGGCTGAATTAGCAGAAAGCTTTGTCCCTCGACTTGCACCTTCCTGCTCTGATGTAGGAAGCGCACAGCAAAGTGCTTTGTCTTGTGTCTTAAGCAGCAAGACTGTCGCTGGTCTTTGGGCAAGAGTTACTACTGGGAGCAAGAGCCATATGCTGGCCTTTTCTAGCCTGGCAGTGCTGCAATTCGCACCCCGCAGCAGAGGAGGCAACAAACCTGAGGAGCCCTCAGCAGAGGGGATAGACAAATCCGGCACCTCGGGGCACACGCTCAGCACACACCGGCTAATCCGCGTGAGGCCCTCCCATTCACCGTGGTGAAGTAGCTGCAGAGCCAGGGCCAGCTGCCTACAGCCTCGATGTGGTGGCATGACACAGTTTGCAAAGCTGATTAGCAGCCCATTGTGGAGAACCCTGCTGGCGCTTCACACACCCAAGGAGCTCTGCCAGCATGGGATCGGCTCTCGCTAATCCCCTTGGACATGCTGGGTTAACCCTCTGTGTCATCGTGCGCCTGTTACAGCTCCTTTGGCATGGGTTGTCTTGCTCATTAGTTGTTGGCCATGCCACACCGGCCTCTTTGGTGCAGAGTGAAGGCCTTTCCCATAGCTCCTGGTGGGGAAGGCACAGTGCTGCCTGATGCTCAAGGTCTTGCTTGTTCTCTCTTCTTCCAGCCATTGTACAAGGAGACTCCCTTGAAGAGATTTACAGCAAAATCAAACAGATCATTGAGGACCAGTCTGGGCACTACATCTGGGTCCCATCCCCAGAGAAACTCTGAAGATGTTCCCCACCTTCTTCCCTGTGAGCAGAAGATCTCCAAAGTCCCACCCCACCCAAGCCCTCTGCCCTGAGGGGGGAGATATGAAAACTATTCCTGCCCCCTTTTTTTAGATCGTCACAAAATTGAGTTTTCTAGTCCTGTTTCTTTGGTTGGAATGAACTCATCTCATTCATCACATGACTGTTCCCACCGTTCCTGCATGGACCTTCCCACTGCTCCGTTAGAGACAGATGAGAACCCATTCAAGGTCGTTTTTTATTATTATTATTATTATTATTATTAACTATAACCAGGAATCAAGATGGGAGGAGGCGGATAAGGACTAACGTAAGAAACAAGTGAAACAATGGACTCAGAGCACATGAGCTAGTGTCAGAGCTCCAGGGACATTTTTCCAAGTGTGACTGTCTAGCAGCTCTGAACAGTGTGACAGAAAGGCATCAGAAAGCATTTTATTTATCTGTATATGTAA